GGACCCCCAAAATAAGGTACCCTAATGTTCGGAAACTCCCCTATATATATATACATACATACATACCTAGGACTGGGAATAATAGCAAACACCCAAGACAAGTACTCAAACCGAGATGCTGGCCCTGGTTGATTAATAAGATATAGCCCACGAGGCCCTCCAACCCAGATAAACCCCAAAACCCTAAACCCAAAGCGAGAGGCCCTAAACTCGTAAATCGAAACCCCGGTATCTTCTGAAGCCTGCAACACCAGATCGGGAGATTTGAAAACCCAATTGGCACATGATCTGTAGGCGTACATGTGCAAGAAATTTCGACGCATGCACCGAATGCCCCTGTAGCTCCGATCCTGTCTAAGGTTCAGGGCTTAGGGGTTGGCGGGCTTTATTTATCATATAATTATATTTAGGGATTCTAGCGGGAGGTGTTTACCATATATAGGCACTTCATGATATAATTAATTGGGGCACAAGGCACATCTTCGCTTTATCCAGCACCTCTGCGAAGCCCTGGTACGCAACCAACTCATTGTTGGCCTTCTTGTCAGCCTCAGGCGAGCTCATGGATTGCATCGATCGGGTTTGGGCCCGAGCCTGCCGGGGGTTTCAGTGTAAGGTTCAGGGTTCGAGAGTTTAGGGTTTTAGTGCTAGAAATGGGCAGGGGCGAGCTAATTTAGAATACGTATAATCTTGCTCATTCGGAGCTAGGCGCAGCCATTCCAAGCTCGCGCCACGTCTTGGCCTTCTGAATCTTGTCTTTCTTAGGCTTCGGCTTCGGAGTGGAGGGCGCATCCTCGTCACAGCTCGGCAAAGCCTCCTCCCTTAGCTGCATGCAGACCATGTACTATGTTAGTCATCGAATGCCCTGGTCGAGTTTCAGACAAAGCTTAAGGGCAGCTATATTGAAAATGTAGTATAGTTGCAATGCGTGCATGGCATCATCATGCTCAACATTCTCCGCCACCATCTGCACATCAGCGCTTTGTGTCTTCGTGTCCGTCGACTTGTCCTTGATGTAAGCGAAGGATTTGAAGAGCTGCATATCCTCGCACCGATCCGGTAAAGTGGAACTAGAAACCC